ATACACATCAAATGAAAGCTCAGAGTCTCCTCTTTCCGATGATATAAACCTTTTTGACCTGCAGCAACCACAGCGTTGACACAAAGAGCTTTTTGTGCAGAAAAGCAAAATGTTAAAATCTGACTTTTCTTACTTTTGAAGGCTCTCTGCAGCTCAAACATCGATCATTCCTCACCAGCTTGGTCTCATTCTGTCCGGACACAACCAGTCAACATCATCCCGTAAAATAATTCGGTCCGTAAAATGTATTAGATCCTCAAAGGCACAAATTCTGCAGTAATGTCTTCCCAGCTTGAGATCAGCTCCGGCTGTTTTATTCATTTCTTCTGGCAAAATCAGCCTGAATCTATATTAGATCGCGCTGAAAGCGCTACAGTCAGCGGACGTCTCAGCTTTTGATTGACACCTAGTTTGGCCAATAGGAGGGCTTTAGGGGTGAGTGACAGCCTGAAGGGCCAATGGAGTGTCTCAGACAGTCAACCCGGTCCGCACAAGTCCCACCCTTGTAGATTCGACAGTCGGGTTGCAGACACTCTCTAAAGCTGTAAACTTGTAGCCAATGAGCAGACGAACACGTGGATGTGTCAGAAGGCAGGATTGTGTGTGTGTGGCGGTATCGGATCGGCCAGTTACCACTGTGAAGGATCTCATCCGATACCGTAATTTCGTCCAGTATCGGTCCGATACCGATACTCAGTATTGGATCGGCGCATCTCTAATATATATATATATGCACAAAGATACAAAAGTCTCCATCTAAACTAAAGGAGTTGTCTCAAAAGGAATTTGCTGATTTAAAGCTGAACTTGAAAACAAAGTTACAGTCTGTTCCAACTCCTTGTTTTCCAGCAGACTGTGTAATCATTATGCGACACGCTCACTCTATTATAAGTATATAGTAGTGATTATGAGGGATCCAGGTTTAGTTGGTTTGGGTGATGAACAGCTTCAATCCCGATACCCCAGTCTTCCTCTCAGCTTAATGTACACAGCCAAATGCTGTGTTAGGGCATTCACCTCATTCTTGAGAGCCTCTATTCGATTCATGAGGGTCCTTCATGAAACCTCAAGTATCTCCACTTGGTCTTTGAGACCACTCTCCTACGCTTTAGCAGCCTCCAGCTGATCTTTGAGGATACACTCCTTATCCACCAATGCAAGATTCTTCTTGGTCCAGTCACCCGTCTTGATGATCTGAGCTGCCAAGAGTGTCATAAGGGTTTGGTGTGATCTCCTGAGCTCCTTGTTTTCTTTTTCCAGACTATCTGCACGTGCCTGCTACAGCTGCACTTGGTGTAGCAGTGTCTGGTGTTCAGCCTGGAGAGCATTATTTTCCACTTAAGGTATCATCTGCTGCCCTGGTTCCATCCATCCTGGTCCGGTGGTTGTGGTTGATACCATCTCTCCGTTGGACCATATCCTTGGTTCCCTGGAGCAGTGAGGTCAGATAGGATGCCCCCTGCAATGAGGATGGAACCTCTTGATGCCTGCTGTTCTTTTATTGTGTCACCATTCTCAGGGCCCTTTTAATGGTTATCAATTCATTAGTAGCCAGGTCAGTGCAGTAACTCAGTTAATCTGCACTTTTACTGACCCTCTATTCTTGCATCCTTCACTAAACAGGTTGCTTTGAATAATTTTGCCCTCTGAACCCTCAACGGTTGTCAAACCATATCCATTGATAGTGAGGTGAGTAAGATTGAATGGTAGATGTGGTTTCAATTGTCTTTTATTAGTTGCTATCACTCTTGTTGACAAAGCACAACGGATCAGCTGCTCTTTCTCATGGGTTGTTTTAGCAGTGTTTGCATCTTGCATTTGAAGTTCAATAATGATTAACATCCCCAATTCTATCATCGTTATCGTGGCTATTTCAACTGCCCATATCTTGAATCTTACTTTTATTTTTTCCGCAATGATGGCGCAATATAAAAGAGAGAAAGAAATCTGGAATTCATTATAAAGAAACTGCAGGAGGCTTTTACTAAAGTAGGACAATGGTCCCATGAATGGGGTTTTAAATTCTCCGTCGATAAGCCAAAGACAATAGAATTGACATAGAATTGGACGAGAGGTGAAACTAAGATTGTGTAATCAAGAACTGAAAAGAGTAAAACACTTAAAGTTCATAGAGATAAGGTTTGATGAAAGGATTATTTGGGCTACTCATATTCAGAAAAGAATGGACTAATATAAGAAAGTACTGTAGCTGATTTCGTGTTTAATGGGAAGCGAGTGTTGGGCAGATAGAACTGCCCTGAGAACTGTTTAAAACAGTGTAGCTCAGGCAACTTTAGAATATGGTTGTGTGGTATATGGGTCAGCAGCAAAAAGCCAGATAATATCCAGTGTCAGGTGTTAAGGTTACACACAGGAGCATTTAAAATTACTCTAACAGCATCAGTACTCATGAAATGGGAGAAATGCCCCTGGAAATAAGGAGGACACAGATATCACTGAACTACTTGGTTAATTTGCAAGTACACAGTCAAGATCATCCAACATGGGACTCTTTAAAACCATGCTGGGAGAAGGAGAGCAGGAAAACAATAAGCTGTGGGTGGGCAGTAACACACAAACAGAGCTTTAGCTGGATCAATCCAACATTAGTTCAGCAGTTTCACCTCCAACACTACAGCCACAGATACTTCAGCACATTTTACATTCCTAGAAAAGAACAAGGACAAGGTGCTTATTTTACAGATAGGGTCCACAGATCAGCAACTTAAAAATCTACACTTGTGCTTCAAATAGTCAGGGAAATGAACTAAGCAAAGCAGTCATTCAATGTCACAACAGGGAAACAGGGATAAATGTTTCATCTACTCACGAGATATGATAGTATGCTGTTAGTGGTACAATGGACGTAGACCTTTAAGAACAATCATCAAGTGCTTCACTTACCAGTTTGCAGAAACAAACAGTAGACATCCCAGTAGAATTAAAGAAATCACTGCAAAAAATCCAATTTATGGGACTTACCAGCACACACTGGTATTTAGAGAAATTAAATGGCAGACAAAAGCCACAAAAAATACTCATTGATTTGGAAATTAACATAAGCAGGTCACAAATCAAAAGCATCATCAAGCAGACACTGAAGGAGAGGACAGGAAGGCGGTACTGCAGAGTGCAAAGGAAAGTGGGAGAGAGGAAACAATAATATCAAGAGTCAAATTTAGACTCCAGATTAAGCAGTACTCTGTTCAAAATAGCAAAACACAACATAGGCTGGTAGATGTGACTACAGTGGGGAGGAAGAGACTGTACAGCAGTGGTTCCCAACAGGGGGGGCACGGCCCACTAGAGGGCCACAGAGAGCTGCTGGGGGGACCTTGAGATGTCTGTGAATGTTATTAAGAAAAATACAAAAAAATATATTCTAATGACAAAATAACAGGAGAAACTATCTAACTAAACACACAGTCATTCTGTAGTATAAGCTAACAGCCTAGCCCAATAACAAATAAATAAACTGATCAAAATGCAGTGTGGGGCAGTACTATAGCCGTGGGCATCACTTGAGCTTGGTGTTTTTTCCCCCAATCTGTGTATAAATAAACAGTTAACCTCAAACTTAAGAAAAACTCAAGTAAAATTTGACATCATATAATATCTGTGATGACCAAAAGATATTCTACCAAACAACTCAAGAAGCGAGTGCTAAAGTTATATTCCAGTCCCTTAGGAAAACCAATTTGATTGAGAGGATATGAATTTGAAGCTGCTCATACTTCACATCCTGATCCACGCTGTGCCACTGGGTGGCGGTAGTGCGTCAGTCTGCTCGCTGACCGCCAGTGAACCTCCAGCCAGAAGAAGAAGACAAAGCGGCAGAAGAAGCGTGATAAAGCTTTGGGCGCACACACAGACGTTTTGCTAGCAAACTAACAAGTTATTGTCTGCGACATGGTTAAATTATCTGCAGAGCTGATCGAGCAAGCTGCTCAATACACCAACCCGGTGAGAGACAGGGAGCTGGATTTACGAGGTTGGTCTAAGTTTCCTTCTTAAACGGGCCTGTGTTCTTTCTGGGAGCTTCCTCGTGCTTTACGCGGGCCTCCCTCCGAACCGAGCAGTGGTCCTACTTTCCGATATAAATGTCAAAACATGTCTGTAGCCCAGTTTACAGCTGCTGTACAGTGTAGCTAGCATTAGCACGGTGTTTATTTGTTCGTTCCCCACGGAGAAGGTTTGAATGAAGCGAGCAGAAACACGGATGTTTATTTTCTCAAAGTGCACCAGAGCCAGATATTCAAAGTTAGCATCGTTTACCTACATACAGCTGAGAAGAAAACTATTAGCACCCCGACGAAGATGTAGTTATTTTACGAATATTTCCCAATTGCTTCTTAAGACAGGAAGGATTTTTAACATATCATTTCTCAATAAAGTAGTTTCCTTTAGAAAATAAATGAATTGGGGCCAATAATATTAGCCATACAGTCCATAGGGGGTGAGTTGTTCTACTGTGTGCATATTGGAAGATGAGCCTTAATTCACAAGTTCAGTGCAAAGCTTCTGTGTTAAAACACATCCTTTGCACATCAGTGGTTTCTGCTGTGGCTCAACAGCAAGACTTTAGGTTTGTGTGAAATAATTCAGTTACTTTGTGCAAATAAAACTCATTTATGTTTTCCATGCTGTGTTAAAAAGTCCTTTGCCTGTCAGCACTTAGGAAATACCAGAAGACTGAAACTTTGGGCAACACAGATCAGATCAGGCTATGAGCTGTACTTGTTAACCAGGGTTTGCACCAATGAACTGGTGTTCTGCAAATACAAAAGAAACCATAAGAGACCAAATAAAACTAAAACTGGCTACATAAAAATAAATCTACATGCATCAGTTAATTTTTTTTTCATGCTATCAACCATGCCATCTTCCTTGTTTGTTACACTCAAGACACTCTTGCTGTTAATGTAATTTCCATCAATACCACACCATTTATATATTTAATTTTTTTCCCTTATTTTTCCAGGTTATAAGATTCCAGTTCTTGAAAATCTTGGAGCTACTCTGGATCAGTTTGATACTATTGATTTCTCTGATAATGAAGTCAGAAAACTGGATGGCTTCCCTTTGCTTAAAAGACTGAAAACATTGCTAATGAACAACAACAGGATTTGGTAAGTTTCAGCTGCAACACTTTCTAAATGTTTTGAATGTATATTGATATTGCATGTTCAAATTTCCCAAAGAGAATTTCAGTTATTTCTGTAGATCCAAAATAAACACAAGGTTATAGTTAATGGGTAAGCAGTTTATTTTAAGCACATGTTAAATGAGTTTAACATAGCATGTCATTCAGTAAATTCACTCTGGCTTGGAACATATGTGAATAGTTCTTCTCCATACCTTTCCATATTTACAGCGTCAGATACCTGTTTGGTCTGTCCTCCAATGTAAACCCTCATAGACACTCCATATATTCATATTTTCAGTTCAATCCTAGAATAATCTGCTGTTTTCGGATGTTGTCCACTCTGTACTGCTGTCTTGGACACATAAAAGTTGTTGAGCTAATGTTCTACAACACAGAACTGTAGTTGGAGGCCAGTGAAATGAGTCAAGGACAAGGCGTTTTTAAGTGTCGTTAATAGGCTTGAAAATGTAATGACTCTGGATAAAACGTGTCATTTTGCATTCGATATATTAATAGGAATATAGCCCATGTTAATTCAGTGTCCTTTATTAATGACTCCACATGATTGTTAAAGTGAAATAATAATTGACAGTGTCTGATGTTAACTTGCTTTCTTGCATAACTTTAGATGAACTCTGATTTATTTAAGCTCAGTTTTATTGGAGTCTCAACAGGCATTACACTGTCCTGCATAACAGCCAGTTCATGCTTTCTGTGTTTTTACAAAGGGCCATACATTTAATCTTCTATCCAAGTTGATGGGGTCTGCATGGACCCCAAATAGCCATATGCAGCCCTATCATTTTGCCTGCAGACCGCACGTCAGGAAAATAGGTGGAGGCTGTGCAAAGAGATTCTCAGTCATCTACACCCTGTAATCTATTTGTAAGAGTTGTAATTGAAATTGATGCTGCTGGACTTTGGAGGTGCTTTGATTTGTTCATGCTCTCCATCGACAGCTTGTTGAAACATAGTGGGACGTTTTCTCCAGAAAGCCTGTGCTATGTCCACCCACTGTGCTTGGCACACCTCAGAAATAATCACTGACCTTGTGCTACAGCCTGATCTGTAATCAGCAGCTATAACATTTTAAAAGTGCAAAGTGACAGTCTTAATAAAACATTCACAGAAGCCCTGGTGTTTGTCCCAGGTCAATATGTAACTGTCTGCAGCTGACCGATACAGACCTATTGTAGGATGACATGGAGTGCAATAAGCGCATCCACTTTCAGATTCAAATCCGGCTGACAAAACACAGCACATGAAAACCATGAATTGGCCTGAAGTTGGTCACGATATGCTGCTAACCCCATTGCATGTTGCTCCAGTCGCATAGGTGAGAATCTGGAGCAGTCGCTGCCAAGTCTGACAGAACTGGTTCTCACAAGCAACAACATTCAGGAGCTGGTGAGTACAACAGCAACAGTACTCGCTGAATATTCCTTTTTTTCACATTTGTGATCAAAATGTTGAATGCTGCGTACACAGACATACACTGATATGCCACAACAATAAGAATGTTACCTTGTGAAAACCTTTCAGATTGTGAGTTTCCAACGACTGCTGTAACTCAGAGTTTTCAATAATGGAATCACTGAAACACATGCATCTTCATGACACAAAAAAATAAAAATGAATGCATTTTGGTTCTTTCATAGGGTTGTTATATAAATAGAACAAAGTCTAATGGGTCAAAAATATACATACAACAATGCTAATAGTGGTTAAATGTCCTTGAGTGAATATCTGGAGTAAGCTTTAGACAGAACCTGTCAACACAAACATGCTCAATAAAGCATTTTGAATGTTGAAAATGTGAACATAGGTTGTGGATAAGAACATAAAAATGTAAAATTTCCATACAATCAAATTATATAGAGAGATTTCCCTTAAAAAGCTTATGTTTCTATAGTTATTTCTTTCCTTTTAGCTGCCACTCTTCAGAACAGCTTGTGTACAAAATAATACAGAGAGCTACATCACTGCTTTGCATTCGCAGAGTTCCCAGCTGTGCAAAATGTAATGTATCAAAGGTACAAATCAAACTACTTACAACTGTATACAATAAGAAGTGCCTATAAGTGACTATTCTTTCTTGTATTCATTTATTTTTTCAATCTATGCTACTCCTCAAAACAGTTTCTGTTTAGAATGAGGCAGAGAGCCACATCACAGGACCTGCACTTCCAAAGACTTTCTTTTTTGTTAACCTTGATGCATACCTGGCAAATCTTGCATCTTTCTGTGACTGTCTGGCTGCATCTGTTGGCATGGCAACAAGGATGTGGTCAGCTCTCATGTGGTTGGGTACCCCTGTGCAGTCCACCTCACACCAGTCCAGTGAGGAAGTCCTTGGGGTTCATGGGCTTCACCTGCTTCGCAGTGCTGATGTCTCAGTGTAGGATGTAGGCATTGGTGGTGGCAATGTCATCAGGGTGCAGGACCAGGGTGCAGTACCAGTGTGCTGGTTAGTGGTGGATGGAGTAGTATCGGAGCAGCTGGTCTGAGGTCAGCAACTCAACTGTCTCAACTGCTTTGCTGCTGCTTCTCATTGTAGTTTTTTGATGAGTTTAGTTCTTAAGTCTTTCAAGAACCTCCAGGTGGCATTAAAACCTTGCTCGTAACATTCCTGAAAGCTTCTTCATTAATAGCAGTAAAATTCTAATTTATACGAGCTGCAGTGTGTAATTCCACAGATGCTGCAGTTCACTAAAAACACTTTGCATTAAGAGTATGATTATTTCATTTGCTTGTTGTCCATGTAGAACATTATAGTTTAGTTTTTATTCATTCAATAAAAATTGTTCATAATAGTCTTTGTTAAAAAAATTAGCACCGTTTCCGTGATGCATCAGGCTTTTTAGATGTTCATTTGCAAACTTGGGTTGCATAATTTTGCAGTGAGGACTGCAAAAAGTTTGGTTTTTTTTACTCCCCTGAGGACTCTTCCATAAAGTCAGAAATGTTTCTTGGTCTGTTTAACCTCAACTCACCCCCTACCATTCTGTTTATCTGCCAGTTCTTAATCATATTATGAACTAAAGAAATGGCCTAAAAGAGCAGCATGTTGCCAGAAAAGCCAAAAGCTTGCTGGATTTAAAGTTGACTGATATCTTTTTGAAAGTAGTCGTCATATGCAGCAATACACTCCTCACCATGCTCCTACCACGTTTGGAAAGCCCCTTGGAAGTCCTGTTCTGTAAGCATGTCAAGCACAGTTGCAGATGGGTGCTGAACTTCCTGAACTGTGTCAGAACAACCCTCCAATTTGAACTTTTTAGGAAAGGGGCAACAGTCACAGGCAGCCAAATCTAGTGTGTCGACTAGGTGGAAGTGACTTTTTTTTGTTGTTGTTGAGGCCAAAAATCTGTACGTACACCCCATGCTGCGCCTGGATGCACAGTGCAGTTGAAACACCAACAGGCTCTTGCGCCACGAGTCAGATCATTTGCACCTCAGGATTTTGAACTCGAACTCTGCGTCGACAGTCCAGCCCTGGGTGAAAAATTCACAGTGCACAACCCCATAGATGTTAAAGAAAATAATCCTGCCCTGACCGATACACCATCTCCGATCTTGAAGACAGCATTTCTTCCACTGTGGAAGCTGCTGCTGGGTCTTTGGGTGATCGTCCATGTCACAGTGTGGTCATCCCGGCTGCTGACTGACACAGAATGTGTTGTTTGCCCTCTGCTCCAGTTTAAGCTCCATGTTGAAATTGTAAATACACATATGCTACACCCTGCATGTAAATTGCACCCTGTGTGTGTATATTATACTCAGCCAATGTCAACACGAGCTGATTGGAATCAGCCACATCATTTTGTTTTTGGAGGATGTTGTATGAGGCTCAGTTGAACAGGGACTGTGTGCATGTCATTGTACTTGGTTGCTCTTGGTAATTTCACTCACTGTGATTATTGTCCGTTTATGTTAATGGGACTTCGAGGTGGTATGGTATCATCAAATGCCGTAGAAACCTCACCTCTCTGTCTTACCAACAGTGTCTTTGTCTGAATCATTCTTTTTTTTTTTTCCCTGTGTAGGGTGACTTGGACCCACTGGCCACAGTGAAGAATCTGTCCCTTCTTAGGTATGAATCAGTAATACATCGAGATAAATTGAATGTGCCACTGTCTTGTGGACTACTTCATTATGATCCCACATGTCTGTTGTAATAATTATCAATATTTCAGCTTGTTAAGGAATCCAGTGACAAACAAGAAGCATTACAGGCTCTATGTCATCAACAAAATCCCACAAATCCGTGTGCTTGACTTTCAGAAGGTAAAGCTAAAGGTAAGTTGTGACGAAACAAAGGTCCTCATCATATTGTAAGTATTGTGTGATACTGTCTTCAGTGGCCTTGTACAGAAGTCAGACGCTTTGCATCAGTTGAGTCATATTTGATAGAAATTTAAGATGGAAGCTGAAACAGCAGATGCACATTACAGTGGCAGAATATCTTTTGCATCGCAGTGGTTGTTAACTGACTGTCAGTCTGCCCTAGTGCAGCTGTGGCTACAATTGTAGCTTACCACCACCGGAAAGAATGTGTGTGAATGAATAATTGACAGTGTAAAGCTTCGTTGAGTGCCTAGAAAAGTGCTATATAAATCTGATCAATTAACAAAACTAAAGCTCTTCTGTCCTGCAGAGAATGTCCTGTTAAAAATCCAAAGGATTTCTGGTGATTTCTTTTTTTGAATGGTCTTCTTCCACTTGGATGAAAGCTCTGACTGTTATTAACAAGAGTCTTCACTATAACTGTGTGATATTGTCATAGGAACGCCAGGAGGCAGAGAAAATGTTCAAGGGCAAACGAGGTGCTCAACTTGCAAAGGATATTGCCAGGCGAACGAAAACGTAAGATGAAAGTCCTGTTAGACAGCAGCCTCTCAGAATCACTGGATCCTTGCTCATGAAGTGGGTTACACACTGCAGAGAATACACTGTTACCGGCCATAAACAGTGCATCTGTGTACAGTAGCATGGTCATATTTCTGTTACTGTGAATAGTTAGGTAAGGAGAAGAACTGATCTCCAAAAGGCATAAAGTTAAAGATGAATCTTTCTTTTAAACATTTTAAACAATATTAAGGTATTGGGGGTTTTTTTTTGGTCCAAATTTAGAGTGGATAAGACAGTGTCTCAAGTTTTACACCCCAAGAGATTGGAGCTGTCATAAGTTTTACAGTCTCAGACAGTGAGTATGAGGGTACTTCAAAAAGTTCCTCATTAGAAAGCGTCACTGGAAATAGACAATTACTGCGTTTTTCCCCAGAACTTTTCGAAGTATGCTTGTAGCTTGTAAGGGTTATGACCTGTTCAGTCGTCGTCAGGAAAGTTCAGGTGATGCAAATTTTAAAGCTTTACGAATATTCCATAAATCTTAAGCTACCAATCAGCAGCCATGGGCGCTAAGCAGATCTCTGAAAATTAATGTGTAATTTAATATCAGCAAGTTTTGGAAGTCAACACTGATGTCTGAAGGTGTAAAAAGGATGGATTATGCAACAGAATAATGATCCTAAACAGAAATTGTAATCCACAGTGGACTACTTCCAAGTAGTGTAAGCTGAAGGCTTTGTCATGGCCCTCATACTGGCCCAACCTAAACATCACTGAGAATCTTTGGAAAGACTTCAAAAGAACACTGCATGTCAAACAGCCCTAGAATGAGACAGAACTCCCCCAAACAAGAACTTACTCTAAGCTGCTACAAAAAGCACTGACAAGCTGTGACACTTAAGGAGGCGTCACTAATTACTGACCATGACCACAGAACACAGAACTTTTGGTTTGCAGCCTTTAGTGTTTTGGTTGTTAAACTGTGAAAGATGGAAATGAAAATGGTAATTTTGCTTTAGAATATTAAAGAAATGTGTAATGTGTAACTTTATGACTTGGAAGAAAAGTTATCTTTTACTCTAACTGTTCACAGTAATGGGTGTGGGTATTTTGCATACCACTGTACATTGGAATACACATGGTGATCATTCGTGGATAAGTACCAGCTGCCTTTTTGTATTGACAATGTGCGTTCAAAGTTCCCAACGTTATAACCTGCATACATGTCAATGCAGGGAAACCATTGTAAACTTGTGGGCTCTGCACTAAAGACTCACTTAATTGGTATATTACACTAATGCTTAAATCGGCCTCAACTCAGCAATTTAAACCTGAAGCCAGAAGTATTCACCGTGGTGTTCCTTGGGACTGCTGTCTTTGGACAATCTGTCTGTTTATTTGAATAAGAAAAGATACTACACATGAGAATGACTACACTGAGAGGTCAGAGAAGCACATGTGTGAATATGTTGTCTAAATGAGGTATATTCCTTTCAGCTTCACTCCTGGAATGGCAGCGCAGCCTGAGAAGAAGAGGACGGGGCCCTCTGAAGCAGATGTGGAAGCCATCAAGGTTCAGTTGTTGTTGTGGTTTTGACAGTTAGTGAAACATCAAGAGTGAGCAGATGCAAAAGTGGACACATCTTAGTTTAGTATGTCCCTATGGTGACATTGTTTGTCATCTTTTCTAGGGGTACCATCATTTTTGTCCAGGCCTGTTTCATTAGTTTGTTCTTTATTCTGTGGAGCCACAATTCAAAAGCAATGTCTGATTTTTATTATTAGTTATTTTTTTATTATTATTACTTTTGTCAGTTTCAACTTATTTCAGTGACCATTGTGGGTTTTTCTTTCTTTAACGGAAGGGTACCGTCAATTTTATCCACATGTGTACTTTAAATAATGATGCCTGAAGCAGAGAGGCTAATGTTGGATTGAGTGAATAAATGTTGGAGTAATGCCAAACGTACTGCACTGCATAAAAGAGAGAGGTCATTTGAGGCTATACACAGATTGGTAGATCTATAAAAAGAACAAACAAACATATGGCTACACTGGCAGAACACTAGCTAATACGTTTGCATTATGAGCCGGCCCAATGCATGTACAACCTATTACATTTTGTTTTAGGACTGACAGATTATCTTTCCACAAATCAAACACAGCATAATATTGCCCAGCAGAGCAATCACAGTTGTTGCAGTCTGCATCATCAAGATGTGTTAGTACATTTCTGGAGATGTGCACATTAGACTAAGGCATACCAACAGTGTAGATTCAATGGAGAGGTATAAATGCAGTTTCACATCTATTTGATCTATTTGCATCAGTCAACTAACTGATCGGCTTTGGTGTGGCATCAAAGAGCATCCTATAGCAGACAGAAGTATTCCAGTAATGCAACGACAATTAAACTAGATGACAACTGGCTTAAACTCATCAGAGTTATTAAATAATGGTTATATAATGATACTATAACCACAGTGAAGTCAAAGCACCATTGATGTAGTGAAATAACCTACATAAGCCATTACATCTTATGTACTGGACTTGCAGAATGTTAAGGGCATAGTGAAAACAGAATTTGTCAGACTGTGTTAGCTGATGTTGACATGAATGTTTGTATTTTAGAACGCCATCGCCAATGCCTCATCATTGGCAGAGGTGGAGAGGTTGAAAGGGATGCTGCAGGCTGGTCAGATCCCGGGCCGAGACGTCAGACAAGGTCAGTGCTAACAAACTACTTTTTTTTTTTGGAACTCAAAGGCGGAACCTGTTTTTTGTTTTGTTTTGTTTTTTTTATAGCATGCTTGATAGTTTCCATCTGTAGTCCCAGTTTTACAAACATGAAATTAAAACCAAGAAAAATATGTTTTGTTTTGTTTTTTTTTTTTATAACCTCAATATATTTTGAGACATGTATGGATGAATAGTTGGATATGGGTCATTCCAGAGTTGGAGGACATTTGGGCTTCAAAAATTTTGAAAAATAAACCTTCTCTTTTTCAATTTTCTGCTATGTATTCATCAATAATAGGTAATCAACTATCAAAAGCTTGATTGACTCAGCTTGGGTATCAAAAATTATTGTACGTTTTATTTGTTATTTGCTATATTTGGTGCCGACCTGTTACCAACTTTCAGGTACCTGAAAAAGGTAGATTAATTTATTTTTTAAGTATAATTCCCTCACCATTAGGTACATAAAGTAACATTGTAACAGAATAACCATTGGAATTCAGATATGACTTGATTTAGATTAAATTAAGTACATTTTGAAATCTACCTTTCCCAACTTTTCAATATTGACATGTTTCACTTTATTTATTTCAGTATTAATTTTCAAATATTTGCTCTAACACATTATGCATATAATTACTTAAACTCTTTAAAGATCAATAGTTCAAACCCTTGTGAGCCGAGAAATTCATTTATGATTTTTTTAAAAATGAAAATGATATGCTAACAGGGTTGAAATTAGAGTAACAGGGTTGCATTAAGTCACAGGGTTGAACAGCTGCATTACTTTTGAATATAGATCATTATGTAAATATGTCAAATAAATGACTTTGACTTTCATTTAACATTAACGTTTGCTGTCTGCACTATTTCTCCAATAGAAAACAATTGCCACTTTGCCTCAAACAAACGAACAAAACACCCTGTTAAAAATATTAGTAAAGACTTGTGCAAAAAAAATTAGCGGTGCAAGCTTTATAAACATTGGTTATGGCCAAGTAGAACTGGTCACATTTCCACAGCCAAGGTTCAAAAGGGAATGTGAAAATGGTTGTCCAATCTAAAACACCAGGCTTCTAAACAAATTCACCTGACACTTGGGTGACACTTACCATCTGGTTTAGAACACTGATTTTGGAACATTCAAATTACCTTTGACAGCTGGATACCAAGCTTATTAACAGAATCATGTTTATACATAGATGTACTAAAGCAGAAAGCAAGTTTTCAGGCAGCTATCTTCTAATATTCAGATTTACACTTCATACCTGACCAGAGTATTCCACATGTCTCTTGCAATGGCCACGTGTGAGGTAACAGACTTGGGTGGAGGAATGATGGTCACCATATCCAATGGACATCCTCCCTCAACGGCCAGAAAAAGTGGTTTTCCCCCACTCAGTGCGTACATTTCACCTGGCAGTGAGTCTCATTCACCTATTGGATGATCCCTGGGTAGATGTGGCCCTCATACAGCAGGGCACACCATTTCCCCACAACCTCTGGATCGTGTCACTGCACTTCTTCTGGTGTGCTGTATGTTGGGTCAACTCCATCCATCTATCTAACTACATTTTAGTCCCCCTTTATGATTATAATCCAATCTGTAAAGTTTATTAATATGTTTAAATAGTTTAGATTATGCAAATCATTTAACTGAATGATAAATAAGTGTTTGTTTTTTTTTAAATTCTGAGTGAACTGGAGGAGATGCAACCCTTTGCTCTACGACTGTGCTGTTGGGAAACTCTTTGATGTTAATTCCATTGTGTCATGTGACTCACTGTTTCCTTCTTCTACTATGCTAAAAATGTCAGGGTAACAGGGTTGCATGCATGTTGTGGGACATAGATTCCTCGCATAATTATTAAAATTTAAAATATTATGTTGATGAAAACAAATGTTTCCACAATTACAAGCGACATCTATTAACGAAATAATACAAAAGTAAATAATGTAAAATGTATTTGAACTGTTTTAATTGAGATTCAATTTGGTCATCTTGGGGTCAGGACAAGAGAAAAAAAATGCATTTTATGGGTTACTTCAGACATATTTGGTATTAAAAAAACATTTTGAATCAGCATTTTCTCCCAGTTTATTTAAATTTGGTCTCAGGACAAGTACAGTTTACTCAAACATTGCATGCTTTAATATTTTGTACATGGATTGTATGAAATTTCATGGCTGGGATGCATAATGTTCCCCAATTCTGGAATGACCCATATGATTTGTCAAACCAGGTCAGGCTGCGATGGTGGAGGAGGAAGAAGAAGAGCAAGAGACCGACACTGTACCGATGGAGGCACATATTGGAGGCAGTTCTGGAGAAGAGATGAATGAGGGGGATCAAGTGGAGGATGATGAAGAGATGGATGAAGAGTCCCATGTTAATGGTTCCTGAGCCTGCTGAGAGGATTTTTTTTTAGTTTTTCTTGTTTTTGTTTTTTTTTTAACTTGTACATTTCTTATGTTCAGCCAAGGTTGTCTTATTTGTTGCATACATTAAACAGATGTTAGTGATGGATGAAGAGTCCCATATTAATGGTTCCTGAGCTTGCTGAAAGGATTATTGTTTTTTTTAACTTGTACATTTCTTATGCTAAGCCAAGGTTGTCTAATTTGTTGCATACATTAAACAGATGTACTGCTGAGTGCACCCCTGATATTAGTTTATAAAGACACCATTCTGACAAATCACTGAAGGGAATTAAAAATCATGAAGTGTTCTAGCATTTTTTTCCTAAAGAACTGAGAAAGGTCACAACGGTTAAATAAATCTAATAAGGTGTGTAAAGATATTGAATTGTAATTCAGTTACTTCTGCAACAGGGTTCTGTTTAAGGCTGTCCAGCCAGGTGAGCAGGAGAGAACTGTCTTTACTCACATTGCTTAATTATGATTGTAAGGTGAAACTTGGATATCTGCACACACAGATGGATGTTGTTTCAGCTGCTAAATCTATGTTGCTTTGACATGTTTACTTTTACCATATTTATGTTAATTGTGGATGATACAAAAAAATGGATCCACGTCCCTGCTGGGTGCAATCCAAGTTATTTATTTCTTTCATGAGAAAATCCACACACACAGATATGTTTTTAGGTTTGGCTGTGATTTGCTGTCAAGTTCGTTTACACTGCTGGTACTGCAGCTGATAGAAAATAGATTAGAAAATATTACTGGTATTTATTACAGAGAAACAACATTAATTTCACTTTGATTTGGTAAAAAAATAAAAGCAACATCCTGCATTGTGGAACGGTGCTAGACCTAAATGCACTTCAATACAAGATCATGTTTGAATATATGAAATGTAAAGTTTTAACAGCCCTAACGCGCAGCTGTCAGAAATAAGCGGCTGCATCGATCGGTAAAATAAAAATATTACGCACGTTTAACAGTTTTACCATTTGTAATAGCAGCGCTTTTTACCGTCATATTTTTCTATTCCTCCTGTTTCTCCATTAAAACAACGTGAAGCAGCTGAACACGATCGTTTTTTTAATTTATTTTTTACAGAAGAAGAGTCACGTTAATAAATAAACGCCTCTTTTTGTGTGAACGCGCACAGAGTTTAAAGCAGAAAACCTGAGTTGACGAAAAAAAGTTGATTAGAACCATCGTGGTTATTTGGTCGAGCCACCTGACACAGTCTGGCTGTGATCCAGCCCTCCACATACAGACCTTCCGTGTTCACAAACCATCCGGCCCTAGGGGGCGTGGCTTCCTATGTACCAATATGGCGGCCGTGTTGACGCACCGCGTCTACGTGCATCATCCAGCCAACACGTCATCCTTGATGCATTGTAGCTGGCCAGGCCGAGCAAAGATGGTGGACGCAGGGAGGTGTCTACTCCACAACAAGTAACTTTAAGAGCAACAACGTCTGCTATCCAGCACGGTACACGTTAGTTCTTGGTGCCTTAATTCGGGAACGTTTATTTAAGTGAAATGGATGATGTGGTGATCGAAGACGTTCATGACGAAGGTTCGCCTTATCGGCCGGAGAAGGTGCCGCTTGCAAACCAGGATGTGACTTCCCTAGCTCTCACTGGTAACTTGACACGAAACAATTACCCAATGTTAGATTAACGTTATTTGAAAATGTCTTTAAAGACTTGGAACCATTTCCTGGTTTTAGTTGGAGACAATTTTGAAACACAGTTGAGACTTATCGTATTTCCAGTGTAGATTGTCTTGCTGTTTTTTTTTTAAGCAGATGATAAAATGAAGCTTTGCTCACTTTTAACGAACCAAAACTAAGTACAATACATAATAAATGTAATGCTAAAAAATATATAGAGAGGCATATTATTATTATTATTATTATTACTATAAATGTCTGCTTTCATTCTTGGGTCTGAATTCTACAACATGTCGTTTAACAACATATACTCGTTACTTTATACTCTATTTAAGTTCTATTTTCCTGCTTGTGTTTTCCCCCCTCCACACACACACACACACACACACACACACACACACACACACACACACACACACAGTAGGGGAGCTCTTGAGCCAGTATGGCTGGTACCTGCTGGCTGTGACTGTGGTGACCTACCTGCTGGTCCAGCATCTGAGCAAGAGGAGATCCGCCCAGAGAGGACGCAGCTCTGATCCACAAACGCCACAAGGTCAGCAGTAGCCTTACATACCTGCTACAAATTCACCACAACAAAAGTTAGATCAGGAAAATCATATTGTAGACATGTCCATTTTGAACATAGTATGGGGGATGAACCATCAGAATCAGCTTCATGGGCCAAAAATGTGAACTCATAGAAGGAATAGATTGCCAGTGTTAGCGCATCTCTAGAAGTGTTTAAACACGTGCATATGAACAAGGGCAACAGGTTATGGAGGGAAAATGTTTAGCTTCTATGTGCAACTATAGATACGTGTAAAAGAGCATGTTTAAAGTGAACCAAAGTGTTTGTGCAAAATTGCAGTTAACCAAAGTTTGGTGCAAATGCAGTTTGTAAAGAATACTAACATGAAGGACGAAGGAGAAAAACAGCTCGACTGTGCTAAACGTCTGCTTTTCAGATAAAAGTCAATTTTGCACCCAAGGTGGTTGAAGTCCAGTGTGACGTTTTTGCAGTCTGTGATGACTTGGGGTACCATGTCATCCGCTAGTGTTGGTCCACTGTGTGCTATTAAGTCCACACAGCGTCGACCAGCACATTTTAGAGCACGTCATACTTTCATCTGCTGACAAGCTTTAAACTACAAAATATTTTCAGCTTTTCTTCATAAATTAATTAAACTGTTAATGAGTTCTAAAAAATCATGCATTACATTTTTCTAAATAAAGATGCTGTATTAGTGGCAAAAAGACAAGAGGCCATGGAAGCTGCCCGGAGAAAGATGCAAGAGGAGCTTGATGCCAAAGCAGCGGTCTTTAGAGAGAAACAGAAACAGGTGCAGTAGTGACGTTAAAATGTTTGAAAGTAAGATGATTGTCTGTCCGTGGTGTCAGACTTGAATACAGTGTTGAATGTGTTGTTGACAGCAAGAAGAAGAGAAGAGGAGGCAGAAAATAGAGGAATGGGAGAGTATGCAGCAGGGAAAGAGTTACAAAGGAGCTGCCAAATTTTCTCAGGTGAGTTTAAAGTTCAGTCATATACAACATCAATAACTTTGTCGTGCTAATGGATGCTTTTTACAATTACATTAACATTTCAAATCAGTTTCAAATAAAAATGGGCTTATTTTATGCTTTAAAAAAAAAGAACAGCTGGTGTCCACACAAGCTTTTTCCCAAAGATTCCCTTGGAGAAAAGGTAGCAGTCTTTGTCAAGCAGCTAGGGAGAAGAAAGAGCAGACAGACACAATGATAGCAGAGAGAACAATAAATACTGGCAAGATTGGTGAGGCCATTTATCACACATCTGAAACATGAAGCTCTTGAGCCAGAGGTAATCCCCAGAACAGCACAGAGAGAGAAGAGAGCAAAAAGCACTAACTGTGGGGGAAAGAAGACATAGAGCAAACGCCACGCAATAGTAGTAAATAAGTGCATGAAGGAAATGAAAAGTATTCCCCCAAAAAACTTGAGTGTAACACATGTTACGACATTAACACAAACAGGAAAGCCAAGGTAGAGCATATTGGCAAGATTTAAAACAGTTAAAACTATAAAAGGCAAGTCAAAAGAAAGGTGAAAGATTGAACGAGGAATCAAAAAAAATCAGGCAACAGATCAGTACAAAACACTAGGGCAATAAAAAAGAACATGACTTGCTCAGCCTCAAGAAGAAAAATAAAGGGAAGTCTATAATTTTGATTTAATATTGTCAATGGTGGGATGGAATTTAATGTGCAACAGTAAACTGTAGTCTGGGTGCTATAACCAAAAAGCCCTATCGCCTTTGGTTTTGAGGTGTGAGTGGGGGGCTCCAAGCTGTATTTACGATGATGGCTTAAGTGGCCTAGGGGCCGAAAACAAAGTTAATATATCATTAATGTATTGGGAAAACCATGAAGGTCGTTTAAAACCAATGCTCAAACTATAACCAGAAATTACCAGTGCATGAATCAGATGAGGGATTCCGGTTATGGGTTTTCTTTGTACAAGTTAGAGTTTGGTTGCTGTGTGGTGAACTAACTTACAGCCAGGAGACATAAAAGTGTGGATAACTGTTTCCAAGAGGTCAATGTAAGATAAACAGAGATTCAGTTTACCAGTGGTTCTGAACTGACTTTTCTGAGCCATCACAACAATGTTGACTTTATTATTAAAATTCAAAGAGGTGTTCAGGACGACACAAAGATTTTTAACTGCATCATCCACATTTTCAGACAAAATGGTCCAGAGCATTGCTAATCCTAATTACAGAAGTTTTCTGTATTAAGATGCAATTTCAGGCGTGCAAGTTTCAGGCAAATGTATCATTCCTTTTTTGGACGAACAAAAGCAAATTTTATTATACAATCATACCAACATTTCAAATACAGACAAAGTAAGCATTTTGATAGTGTTCTATGACTCCTGGTTTGACTTAGTGAAGAGTGAGTCCCGTCACGTAGTTCACTTATACAATAGTAGAGGTCATTATTAAGCCACCGATTCTTATTTTCATGGCTAAGGACAAACAAAGGCTTTCAGAATGGTTCTCTTTCATAAGTTTATAGTGTGCAACCATTTTGCTGCATTTTCTGTCTGTTCCTGTGCCATAACTACAGGATCAGCACATTATAATAATAATAATAATAATAAAAAAATTGAAGCAGGTAACCTGTGGTGGAAGACGTGTCTGCAGTCCTCCTGTAGAATAATTCAGTGAGTGCCCAAAGATTTTTTTGCAGATAATGTTAGCATGAAGTCCCACCTTTTAGATGGTATGCTTGTTTTTTTGAAGTACGCTCCAACATTGGAGATATTTTGGCCTAAACTTTGGGTGTTTTAACAATTAACTATTGGGTGAGCGGGGTGGTCTTGGCTGACATGGTTTGTGTGATAAGAACTAGTTGTAGGAGAATGAAACATTGACGATAAATTTTCCTTGGGTAGGATAACATTCACTGAAAATATGAAAAGATTTGGCGGAATTGTTATAGCAGTAAAGCTTTATACTTCTGACCAATTTTTTTAGGCGATTTTTGGTCATTTTAGTTAAAAAACAAAAAACAAACAAAAAAAAAAACATGGGCTGAAACTTAGTCTGAAGTAGTTTTGGATAGACCCCTTCAAACTGGCCAAGTTTCATCGAAATCTGTGAGATGGCTTGTGCTGCCCCCGCCTGGTCGTATTGTGGATACACTCTTAATGTCAATGAAAATTATAATACTTTCGATTTAGGTCCTGCTTATTAACACCTGTGTTAATAGCAAGTGTGGTTCAATACTACAGAAACCTTACCTTAGAGCTGCCACTGTTTCAGAACAGATGAGCAGTTGATGTATCTATTTACAGAAGCCAAACAAACTCATATTGAACTAAAGAAGCGATCTGATTTTGTGCTGCATATGAAATTTCCACACAGCAGCACACAGTAAAATGAGTAGGATAGCTTGTTGAGGTGGAGCTCTGCAGCCTGTCATGTTTCACTCTTCATCTAACATATGCTGTGTCCTTCTTGCTTCTGATTACTCCCTGTAATATTTTGAATTGATTTACCAAAACAATAAAAATCACCTTGTGTTTTGCAAGTTGAATTGCCAGTTGAGTGTTCTTAGTCTAAACTAGACTGAGACTAGATAATATTTGGTCTGAGCATGTTTAAGATCTGTTTAGTCTCTGAGATTGTTTTGTTTTTGTTTTTGCATAGAAAATCAAACAATTGTTTTTGCTTGAAAAATGAAAAATTAAACTACTTTAGAATATAAAGTCAAATAGATCAGATGTTGTAATTGTTAACCAGGGCTAACTACTTACACATACAATAGTTTGATTATGGTTTGAATGTCGTATCGCCATGTTCCCCTAATGTGTAATTAATGTACATCACTGCAGAGCACTGAAGAAGCCAGCTCATCATCAGTGCTGAAACCAAAGACGGACAAGAAGCCACTTCGCAGTGCAGGTATGTACTTACTTCACTAGACATGAGCTACCCAGTCAGCTCATACTGAGGCTTTAGCTCCTTTCACCATGGAGGCCCTTTATCTGTTGCAAATGCGTCTGGTACTGGAAGGTTGCTAAACATGGCACATTCACCGAGGAGGCTACCGAGTACGACTGTGATTAAAATGAAAGGTAGCATTGGTTGTTTAAATGAATTGCACCAAGAAGGGTCAATGAAATCAGTGCCACTGAGTCATTGTTACAAGCATGTTATTTACTTACTAATCTACAGTGTTCAGTTGGCAGAGGTAAAATGACAACTTTTGAAATGTTTCAATCTCATTCTGTCTTGGTGATAAGGAGAGTTTTTACATTTTTAAAGTTGACCAAGTGTTTCTTATAAATGGAGCCCATGGTCGTTTATTTTGACCATGCAGTTTTGCAGTTGTTGCTGACTAAACTTGGTTAGGTTTTCTGTCATGTATAGCTTTTACAAAACAGCCAAGAGCTCAAGAGGTTGAATATTTGGTGGGTGTTAATGTGGAATATATTGCAGGCTGTTCATGCCTGCTATACTTTTTTAATACGGCTGACCATCGACAAAAGTCAGTGATGGGTGTGATCAGAAGTGTACTCTGTTGAACTTATGAATACACCTACCAGCAATGTCTCAGTGAGACTTGGCATTAGGTTGGCAGTCACTGTTAATAAGCACATGTTACTCTGCTTCTTAATTCAACACAACTTGTTTGTTCTTCCCAATAATGACAAATATGTCGTGCAGTCTAAGAAAACCCCAAGTTTCCGTTGTAGATGTAGCTGCTAGCTGTGGTTTGTCCACCAGGTCCTTGAGCCACACGTGACCATGATCGCTTTGTCTTCTCCGCTGTCTTGCATCTCTAAACATAAATTCTTCTGTGTAGTTTGGTTGACAGAAGGCGTATCCTGTGTGTGAGACCTGTACCAGTTTTCTGCATTCTTTTCTTCTGTTTGTTTCAGACTACAATCCCCTGACTGGACAGGGAGGAGGCTCCTGCTCCTTCAGATCTGGCAGAAGAGGGCCGTCATCTGGTGGATGAGGCTAAAGAAGGTTAGAGACAAAGGTCGTTGGGACCTTTGACCTCTAACAGCATGACAGCACACTGCCTGAGTGAACCAAGCTGATGATGTCACTAAGCTATCGGACCATAAGGAGATATTCAACAACAAGTGTAGTGGAGTAGAATCCCTGACTCCACTTCTGATTGGTAAATGCTTTGTACATTTGAAAGCTTGTCATGAAGTCATTCCTGTAAATGGTATATAACCAGGAGGTTTGGCTGATGAATTTCACAGTCAGTGTTTATTTTAAATATTGTTATTAAGTTCATCAATGTGTGCCACAATAGCTTCAGAGTTTATATTACTGCAGCATCTGTAGCAGGTGGACGATTTCAATTATAAGAATTAGCACATGGATGATTGTAGTTAAAATGATTTGATATATTGTAAATTATGGTGGCTATGTCTGTTGTTACGCATATTTTATGCAATAAAGATCATCACCAGGAGTTTTAAATTGTCCAGCTGGGAAACTGAAAGCAACTGAAATCAGTGTAAAGGTACATGCAGCTCTTAATAAAACTTCCTAAACTTTACTGTAACTTTATTAGTGCACAAAACGTCACATCAAGAAGTCATTTACATGTTCAAAACAAAATGAGTCAGTCACAGAACACACCAAGACTGGAAGTACGTGAGTGTGTGGTGTATTATCAGTGATAGTTAAATGATCTGCTGTGTAGTTGGTAAACACACATACATGCAAAAGATGGACTAACACTCTCCCTATTGGTCCTTCTCCTCAAATATTCAAGATAAAATGAAATACCTGCAAAATTATGCCTGAATCTGCAGAAATAATACACTGTTCAAAAAAATAAAGGGAACACTAAAATAACATCCTAGATCTCAATGAATGGACGAAATATTCCAGTTGAAAAACTTCATTTATTACATTGTGGAATGCATTGCGATGAAAATAACAGAAAAATCCATCCATTCATCCATTATCTATACACCGCTTAATCCTCACTAGGGCTGCGGGGGGCGACCCTAGATTAAAGCATCAGTCAATTCCTGGACAGTCTGTGGTGGTTGGTGGATGGAATGAGACATGAAGTCACTGATCTGCTGAATTGGATTGAGGTCTGGGGAACGGGCAGGCCAGTCCATAGCATCAATGCCTTCATCATGCAGGAACTGCTGATACACTTGAGCCATGTGAGGCCTAGCGTTGTCATGTATCAGAGGGAACTCAGGGCCCTCTGCACCAGCATATGGTCTCACAATGGGTCTGAGGATCTAATCCAGTACCAAATGGCAGTCAGGGTACCTCTGGCTAGCACATGGAGGGCTGTGCAGCCCTCCAAAGAAAATGCCAATCACCCTGCACGGTGCTGGGCTGAAAGCACAAGCCCCACTGATGGATGTCAGACCCTCATACCACCCTCATGGAATCTGTTTCTGACAGTTTGAGCAGAAACATGCATGTTAGTGGCTGCTGGAGGTCATTCTGCAGCTCTGGCAGTGCTCCTCTTGATCCTCCTGCACAAAGGAGGAGGTAGCGCCCTGCTGCTGGGTTGTTGCCCTCCTACAGCCCCCTCCACATCTCCTGGTGTACTGGCCTGTCTCCTGGTATCTCATCCAGACTCTGGACACTGTGCTGAGAGACACAGCAAACCTTCTTGCCACAGCTCGCACTGATGTGCCATCCTGGATGAGCTGCACGATTTGTTTATTTATTTATTTGATCAGGGACCATGCATTTTTACATAAAAAACATCTGATGTATTGCATATAGAGTGTATAGCATTATGGTTATTTTTAGCTCCCGTCCCTGGTTGGGCTTTTCAGTAAAAATATACAAAGGACCAACAACACCACTAAAAACAGTACAGACAACATTATAAACTTAGAATAAATTCTTTTGAATTCAGTTAAGGTCCAATACTGGGAAAACCATTTTATTGCATTTTGTAGGACTAACAAACTTGGGGGTGTTAAAGAAAAGTTGTGATAACAGTAAGACACGTTGTGGATTTGAAAGAGGCGGCACTGTTTGACAGGAAGTTGAAAACACAAATCGGTGAAAGTGACCGACAGTCTGAGTCTGGGAATTCAGAGGACACACGATGTCATAAAACTGGATGTTTCAGACTGTGAAACACTGTTTAGGAGCAGCATAAAAAACAGCAATGCTATTTTTTGAAATCACATTTTTGCTTCAAAATGTGTTCAAATATCATACATAGGAAGGCAAAAGCTGTTTGAACCTTTGTTGTGTCTGGGGATTTGAGCATACACTATGTCACAATACTGGAAACAACACTGATTTTGCTTCAGAATATGTTTAAATATGATAAATATCAGGGCAAAAGCTGTTTTGCATCACTTTGTCCGGTAATTCACAGCACACAAGTTATCGCAAAACTAATGAACTAACTAACTAATTCACTCATGTCCATGGCAACCTTCTACTGTGACAATTTCACTCCACTTGTAAGCATATGTGGCGTAGAGAGTAGGATAAAGGTGTGGTGGCACTTGGAGCAAGAGCTGGTATAAACCTACTCGATGACTAAGCGGTTGCTGACAACGCCACCTTGGGAATTTCCCCCAAGGAATGGTTCAACCTCTTGCAACAACTAGAGAAGCACACAGGTTGATTATAAAACAAAGCAGGAGGCATGGTTCTGTGAATTAACAATTAGGTTACTTTATTTATTACAATTACTCAGGTAAAACGGGGAGGGAGTGAACCGGATTGAAGGTGGGCTTACCTACGGGTAGGTGTGTCAGTGAGTGAGGAGGGTATCCCAGGGAAAAGTCACCCCATGTGAACACACACAATAACACACACATACACACACACACTCGTAAAGGTTCAAAACCAGGGTTTGACAACACAGCACCCAGGAAGAAGACACCATCACTGTAGGCACGCAGCTTCTGAAACGGGAGAAGATGTACAATTAATAGGGAGAACTCAAACTAAACAACCAAATCTACCCAATGAAAGAAAGAAAAATATACAACAAAAAAAAACTACAGGCCCTCAGTAGAGGGATATAGTTGCCCCTTCTGGCCATGAGACTGCATTTTTGACAAAGTGACTGCTGCCTCTAGTGGAGACATTGGTATGAAGGTGTAACTACACAGACTTGAGAGGGATCGGCAGCATCTAAATTACACAAAGGCAGACAAACTTGGCATCGCAAACCTCAGCCAAGCAGACACCAGTATCATGAGGCAAACAGGAGACTGTCAAACAAATGCACCATAATCATTATGTGCATATGGATGAATAAAATCTTTAGAACAGCCAACAACCTTTAAACAATCTGACTACATCACCTACTACAGAGTCACAGAGGAGCCCATGTGGCAACCATTAGGTACCCTCAGTTAGGAGATGGACCATGGTAGGAGTTGACCTAATTCTCTGGATGTGTTCAACAGCTATCAGGAAATATTAAATTTGCTTTATTGCAAATGTTCCTACGACACAAAGATTCCATGGATTCTGTGCAAGCTGTGTTTTTAGGATTTGTTTTGATGTGTATTATTTATGACCAAATGTTCAAAAAAAAAGAATGACATTTGTCTCAGCTTCAGCTATACTTTATGCGTACTGCTAACCAAGTTTTGGATTAATGCAAATTCGTACCTGATGATGATGCTTAATAAAAAGTCTCTGTATTCTTCTTTACAGTAGCGGTAGCTTTTGAACACAAGTGGCAGCATTCCAGTAAGAGGGAGACAAAGAAATCATGCACCAGTTTGGATTGTATTTGTATTGAGAGTAAAATAGAAGGCATTTTTATTTATATTTATTTTTCAAATCTGTTTTTAGGCACAAACTATGCATGACAGGGATTTTTACCTATCCTGAGAAACCAGGATGCTGTTTGTGAAGAGTGATAATAGCAGATTTTTTCAGTGCTGTCAGCATCATTAATTCATTTCATTCTTCTTTAGTGTATTGGACCATTGTTAGACATCTCACAGGGCAATGTAAAAAGTAGAACCCAAACTATTTGCATGGCCAAACCTCAGGAAGAAGTGAAAATTTTCCAAAATGTTTTTTTGGGGGGCATAGTGGTCACCTCCCAGTAAGAAGGTTCTGAGTTCAAACCTACTGGTCAGCTGGGGTCTTTCTGTGTGTAGTTTGCATGTTCTACCTTTGCCTGCATAGTTGCGCTGGTTCCCTTGAACAGTTCAAAGACATGCCTGATAGGTTAACTGGTGATTCTAAATTGGCTGCAAGTGTAGGTATGCATGGTTGTCTGTCTTGTTGCATTGGCCTTGGGATGAACCGGTGTCCTGTCCAGGATGTACCCGACCTCTCACCCAGTGTCAGCTAGGCTCCAGCCCCCTCAACTACAAGATAAAGCGGGTATAGCAAACAGATGTTTTCAGGGTATAATTTGGGTAAATCAACCCTCTAACTCATTCTGCAGAAACTTCCATCCAACTCTTTCCTGCATATAGACTGGACTCTGCTGTGTTGCATGAGTGTTAGAAATAACACCTTAATTTCATTTTATGTTTTTCATTCATTTATTTAATCTGTTTTTGATTAATGTGTGGGTAACAGAGGTCCGTTAATGTCGACAAAACTTGCCATTATGATTTCAGTGTTTAAATATATCCAACAGGACATGAGACGTTTATGTTAAAACTGTTGCAGTGTTTTCAAAAGATGGGACAGCGATGAACACTGGGGTGAGAGTGACTTTATTCATTTTTTAAGAAACAATATTTTTTTCACTACGCTTGGACGCAGTCAGTTTCTCTTTTTAGAAATGGCCTCCCTGGCTTTGGAGAAAACCCTTTTACATGTGAATATTATAGTTGAAACACATTTTATTATATACAGGTATATTATTGGAAGAGATCAGCTCAAAGTGTTGCCATACAGGGGAAGTCCTGCTCCTGTTAGCAGGCTCCATGAAAACAAGTTCCTCTATGTCACAGGCAAATTGGTTAAACCCCAACATTACCCAATGAATCGCCCATATTTTGCAGGATTCATTGTGCTTTACATATGTAAAGGTTTGGTGGTTTGACTGTTGGTAAATCATACCAACACTCAAACCACTTCCTAAACCAGCGAGGCTTCTACATCATCAGTAACGTCACTCGCCTCCTAACGAAGCAAGCCTCGACACCCGCTTCATAAAGGACTTCTTGGGTTTCTCAACAAACCTCGGCCTCGGCACAGTATGTCCCATCACTAATCGGCAATCTACAAACCTTACCTTGACTGGTTCTCAGCCTTCTCCTCTGTTCGTCTCCCTGGAATCACTTTTGATCACTCGTTGCCTGGTCCGGTTTTGCTCTCTGCCAGATTCATTCTGAACTTGCCACCTGGATCTCCTGCCTGCTGCAGATTCTCACAAGATTCCTGTCTGCCCTTTTCCAGCCCTGATTTATCAGCCAAGTTTGACTTGTGTTTTGTGAATTTCCTCTAAAAACTCAGTCATTCCTGGTAATTTACTTGCCCAGTTATATACACACACACACCTGGTCTTGGTTAGTTTTCTGTCCTGTCTCCCGGTCCTTTCGGTAGTTAGTTTCCTGTGTTTTCCCTGATAGATTTGTTGCTCGTTAGCCTAGCCTTTTATTTAGCTTGGTTAGTTTGGTTTGTTTGTTGATCCTTGTGCATAGTATTCACCTTGGAGTTCAAACTTTGTTTAAAACAAAACAAACAAAAAAAATACACCTTCACTTTGTGTCTGGTTTCCCCGTCCTCACTAGTGTCTGCACTTGGGTTGGATCAGCAGTGACATTTCAATTAGGAAAAAAATCAAACATGTCAGTCTTATAATAGCTTGTTGAGACACTGGATCCAGACAGCAGTAGCAGTAGTGTATCCTGAGCATTTGGTCCAGGTTTATGAGGCAGAACTGTAGATGTACAAGGACTCACATGGCAGCCTCCTTAGACAGATCCTAAGGAAAGCCAAACATCACATTTAATCAGTTACCATCATGGAACAGTTGGAATAGCGCTGACCATGCAGTTAGAGGCAGGCATGGCAAACTGGGGCAGGGTGGTAATTGTGGGCAACAGACAGTTGTCAATAAGTGTAAACCTGTGAAAGTCTAGGTTAATGATGTTGATGTTGAAGTTTTTCTTTTAACATGGTGAGAACCCTGATGTGATGTACATGGTGCAGCTGTGGCTGCAGTTAATGGAGAATTGTTTAACTGTGTTTCTTGCTTTAGAAATGCCATTTATTCTCACTACACAAGATACTTGTCTGCAATGCAACGTCATGTTATGCTGCCTTTCTGCCTAATACTGATGGTTTCTATCGCCATGGCGTCATGACTGTTAAGAGGTGGTTTGATTCAGGTAGGACGCCACTGAAGGCCTCGGAGTAAAATGTACGGCCCGCCACTGACAAACACGCACACACATTTCTGAAAACATGCAGTACAACAAATGCCTGTTCTCATGTTAGTAATCAATGGGGGGAGTTTCACTGTAATATGTCAATTAGTTAAAATCATTCACCATTTTCACCTGTAGTGTTACATTCACATGCATTTTGGAACTGTTGCTCAAAATAATGGATATTGACAAAAACCCAATCTGACATTAATTGTCATTTTGCAGTAGTAAAACCATCTTTAGAAAATGCTTAAACTTTTAATAATTCATGCATGACAGACAGCCAGCCAGGGGCTACCTCACATTTCTGTTTTTTTCTCTTCTGCTGTGTTCATCTGCTCTGAGGTAGGCCATTGTGCTGGGAGGGGCTGGGGCACAGCATCAACCTGAGAAAAAAGTGATCAACACTTTACTGAGAGCAAGAGTATCAGACATACAACATTCAAGAACAGTGCTATGGATTTATGAGAGCAGATGGTAAGCTGGGGGATATGTTGAAAAACTGTTGCTTTATGTCAATGGATCACAGCCATACCGCTGTTCCTCCACCTCCAGCATCTTCCTGTAAGTATTGATCTCCACATCAAGAGCTAACTGGTCACCGAGCAGGTCCTGATATTCTTGCAGCTGACTTCTCATTTTCTGCTGCTCCTGCTCCTTCTGACTGCATTTCTGCTGCCAACCCTCCCGCTCCCTGTCCAGAGTTCGCTCCAGCTCCTGACAGTGGCCTATTTTCTGACAGAGACAAGAAGGATGGACAACATCAAGACAATGTGACCAGCAATCAACATTTCATCATCATAACTGCCTGGACATAGAACATTAAAGCTATACACAAACTCAGACAAATATTCAATTTACAAACATTATCCAAAGCAAGAGAATCTTTGTTTATGGTCAAAGAGTTAGCTCAACAAAAAGACTTTAGCAACCCATAAGCTGCTAAATCATGCAGGTGACACATTTCTTCAGTGTTATCTCATGAAAAGGTATCAAAATATTTGCAGAAATGTGATCCTGTATGTCCTTGAATGTAAGGATGTAGCAGTAGTGGATACCTTTTCTAGTTGGCTCTGCAGGTCAGTGATTTTATTGTTCAGCCTCTTCGTCTCAGACAGCAGCTTGGTGTGTGCAGCAGCCTTGGAATTCAGAGCAGCCTCAAGGTATCTCCCATGAGCCAATGCATTCTCCAGATCACCGTCCTTCTTCTGCTCCCTAAAAGACAGTTGAGCATAATTGCATGCTCTACAGAAAGCCATTTGGCTATTTTTTTTTTCTCATGCCAAACTGTATTCAAATACCTGCATGTTTAATGTTACCTTGGTCAA